TAAAAAATCTCTTCGCTGTCACGATGTCGTAGTTTATAATTTCATAGAAACGTTGTGAACCGATTAATTTCGCAAAGAATAGAGGGCGGATGGAAGTTTTGCGAATTTATGCTCTAGCGGACGTGACGTATTTTCAATCAATCATTAAAAAAAAGTTTTATTAAAATCGAAAGTTTGCTGTCCACGTTATTTCTGTTTATATCTGAACACTTTAAGGTAGAAGTAGCAAGCGCTCTACACGTTTTTTAAGTATTTAGAAATATTTTGGTAAGAGTCGTAAAAAAACCAAATTCAATGATTCGCTTTTAGTAACATAACCAATTGTTTGATAACGTCGATACATAAACCGGATGCAATAAACAGCCAACTGTCAATGTTCTTATATTTCACAAAATTGCACATTTCTAGTACGCATGAATAAGAAAATATGTGTGTATGTACATATGTGTGTATATACATAGATATCAAATAAATAATTCGACCTTACATTTTAGGAGAAAAAAATTGCAGAAGAACCGTTTGTATGTTTTGTTGTAACTGAATGAGCGGAAACTTGATACTACTTTTTTTTTACTGTGGCTCGGTCTTTAAATCATAATTACGTACACACTTACTTCTGCAAATGCGTGCATATAAATTTTGGGCGTATTAATTTACAAGCCATTAAAAAATCAAACTCAAGAAGCAGGAGACATGCTACAAACAAGCAGGATGTGCAAGTGTAACAATCATTTCCTGCGGGTGACACAGGTGTTGTTCCATCGATACTTCCTTTTCATCTTAACTTTTATTTTATATTTTTTTTCCTAAGCGCTCACACAATTATCTGATTTTGTGGTCTAGGAACACTTTTTATAAAAAAATGTCAGCATTCAACTCTTCAAAAATTATTAATTAGGTCCATGGGCGTAGCCAGGTAGGGGCAGGGGGGTGCTCGAGCCCCCCTAGCTTTAAAATTTCCTTATATATATATAAAATAGTACCCTGAAATGCCAGCTTAATAGGGTCGAGCCCCCCCCCCCTAAATTTCATTCTGGCTACGCCGATGATTAGGTCCATTATAAAGGATTCTGAAGTAGCTCAGACGTGGTTCAGGTGGAGCCATTCCTGTCTGGTACGACAGCATCAACAACCCTTTTAAGCAACATAACTCTCGTTCCCAAGAAACAGAAGTCATATTCAGTATCGCTAAAGGGGGCGACACGCTCCTAGCTTGGTAATGATTTTAACACCTTTGTTCCAAAGGTTTCAGGCTGTGAAGATATATTAAGACAAACGGAATAAATCTCGGACCAGCATACTGAGTAATACATTGAGTGGAAGTGACTTCGGTTGAATCATTTAGGATCCCATTACACAGAGTGGGGTAACTTTGGTTCGAAACTTAACTTTAAATTGTGTTTAAAAACTATTGTCTAGCCTAGACTATTTTGGTCGAGTTCAACAAAGCACACCAGTTGTCTGTCGTCTGTGCTAATATACGCCAATTGGTAATGCACCCAAAGTCCTTCTCCACTTGGTCTTTCCATCGCACGGGAGGCCTTTCTCTTCTTTTGCTACCACCAGGGTTCAGAGTTGAATACTTTCATAGATGGAGCGTCGGTGTCCATTCGAACGACAAGGCCAAGCCAGTGGAGTCGCGGTATTTTAATTCGCTGCACTCTGTCCTTCTCGCTGTATAGCTCATACAACTCATCGCTCCATAGACTGCGGTAAACGCCGTCGCAAAATCTCTATTTCGAATACTCCAAGTGCCCGCTCATCGGATGTTGTCATCGCCCGTGCCGTGTAAAGAGTTTCGAGATACTTGGTCTTGGCATCGTTTAGCACCAGACCCTTTCTCAGGGCAGACTTCGCGTTTTTTGTTAACGATGCTGTCGTTATCATTGGCGTATGCCAGCAATTAGACGTTCTAGTAATACATTTTTCTTGAGCGGCTAAGTTCTACAACTCTTACTTCCTTTTTCAACATCAGATTAAGGAAATTACAAGACGGTGTCTCCCTCTCTGAAATCTTCTGGTGGTATTGCTCAACGCCATTTTACGCTGCAAATTTATTCTTTGGCGGACAGAGTACACTCGATAAGATCCTTTACCCTATTCTTAGAATGCTGATGCCGCGGTAGCTGGCGTATATAGCGCGGTCGGGTTTCTTGTAGATTTAGCAGAGCACACTTAAATTCTAGTCGTTGTGCATGCGTTCATCTGACCATATTCTATATAAGAGTTGACGCATGAAATTTACTAACTCCTCACCGCCATACTTGATAGCCCAGCTGGCAGGCTGTCAGCTCGACAATTTGGGTATCGCTCACCATTTAGGTAATCCTTTTCATCCTTACAAAAATTCTCTCTAGTCTTGAAACCTTTCGTAAAAATAAACTTTCTGATAAAATTTTCGGGCGTTGCCTCTGTCGCTCAGTACTTCAAGCTCTTCGCAACCACGTAGAAGAAGAGATAGACTTCTTATTAAGGCTGATAAGTCTTGACTTCCTGTATCGATCCCACACAGCCCGATAGGCGACATCTTTTCTCTCGGCAAATTCGTGGCATTCGTCATCAGCATATGTCGGTATGTTGAAGAGGGCTCATAGAGAGTCAAGTGGCGAAGACGATGTGTGATTGTAGCTATAAACATAGAGCTGTCCTTGTGTTCTGCAACTTTTTGCTGAAAAGGGTCGTGTACGCATCTGGGCTGTAACAAGATAATGTCACAGAGACGATGTTTTTTCCTCGGAACAACGGACGAATGTATGTATGTCAAAAACACTGAAAGCGTGCCTTGCCTCTATCACAACATGAGCGACTTGGTTTCTCGTTTTTCAATCTGGACATAGCCACGTAGCTTGATGGATTTTTTATGCTGGAACCTAGTCTGCATACCTACTACCATGTTTCGGGCTGGAAGCGCTAATAGAAGAGATCCTTGGATGGTTTATCCTTCTCTTCCGTCGGGTCGTGGGCTCAAATGAGTGAGATGTTCAAAAATCTTGCTATAATGCAGATTGCGGCGACACGCTCGTCCACTGGGGTGAACATTATTCGGCGACTGAGTCAAATTAATGTAATTTCTAAAACTAGTTTTGAGCTAATGCACGCTGGTTAAACGAATTTCGCAGAAAAATTTGTTCAATGATCTATTTTACTGGGCCATTTGCTTTATAAAAAATATCTCGCCGTTATCTACGCATACAAAATTATTTGCAAATATAGTTTCAGACACATGTCATTTGATAAGAAAACGCTGATAGTAATTAACAACATACCGCTTGTTTTCAATCACGGGTAACAAAGCACGTTTTCACCTCATTGACGAAAGTCCACCGGCGCGTGGGAGACATGGAAGAAAGGCAGCAAACGCCGGTATTGCTACTCCGATCGTGTATCACAGACTTTTGCATCAGCTTGAAGATTTTACTCAAATTTTTATTGATTGCTTTTTTGTGCTCGAGTTTAATTCAAATCGATTACACGCGGTTACTTAACCTTGAACGGGGCGGTAATGTTTATCTATCAAAAGCGCCCAACGTCTCGCATCCGCGTATCTTTTGTCTAATTTTCACCAGCGTTGAGCGGCATGAATACATTGCGATTCATGGCCTAAGTACTTGGATTAAAAATTGTGATCGTTACCTATTCGTGAGTAATAAAATGCATGCAGTTCTGGAACCGTTGGTAATCCAGAATCGCTACCGCTGGGGCTCAATATTAATTAGCTTCAGCTACGTTTATAGATATTATGCTGATGAAATCGACTGGCTGCTGAAAGTTAATGATGATAAGTAAGAGCAAGAAATAATTTAGTTGATACGAATGTATCTTAATCAGATTACGAAACACTCGGCTTTGAAGTTCGTTGAGTCGGTAGGGACAAAACGATACTAGTAAATACAAGTATATACTCGTCCGATATCAAGTAATTTTAGTATCGATACTTTTGAGCCGAGTACTGAGTAGGTATCGGAAGAAAATACATGTATTGAAACCCGATTCAGTGACAATTTTATTCCCGGACTTTTATTTTTTAATCTAATTATTATTGTGAATATAACATTATTGTGAATAATTAAAAATTTTTGGCAGTTTATTTGCCAATGAAAAGAAAGTCCTACAAAGAAAGGCCTTCTATCATCTCACTAACATATCGCTAGCTTAAAGTGAAAAGTTGCTAAGTTGGATATAAGAAGCAAGGCAATTAAAAACGCAACGTCTCCAAAAGGATTAATTAACGTGCTTGTTTTATTTCTTCACGTTTATATTCAATTAAAGGCAAATTTACTAAGCTCACAAAATCGTTTAATGTGCAACGGAATCTTCTGCAAAATTCTTGAAGGAAATGTTTTAAAAAGTTTTTTT